AAGTTTTTGAGAAAATGCCGCGGGAAAATTTTTTCTTCTTGTTTCTAATTTGGTAAAGTGATCTACGGGAAGAGTTTATATAATAATTGTGTTTCTATCATGCCCTAATATAATAAATTGCTATAAATATTAATCCTGCTGATACACATTATGTAGTTAAGGTCATGTTAATTTGTATTTAAATTAGCATGAACTCTATTATATACTACTATAAAAAATACTGTTATAGAACTTGCTATTTTGTTAATACACAGAATTGGGTTTGTATCAAAATAATCATGATTCATATTTTGAATTACTATAAAAAATTTTGTTGCAGAACTTGCTATTCTTGTGATATATAGTATGTAGTTAAGATTGAGTTGTATTGTGCATTACTATAAAAAATTCTATTATATTTATTTTATTAATATATATATACTACAGGTTATTATCACCTGTAATAAAATTTGCTAATAAATTTTGTATAGCAAAAGCTATCTACATCTCAGAATTTTGTTTAATAGACCACCTTTTGAGTTCTAACAAAAAAAATATTTTATAAAATTTTACTATATACTAATCTCTCAAATTCTTAGCTCTTAATTTACCCTAATATTAAAGTAGTTATGCTAATTTTTGTTTTATAAAATTATTTATTTCTTTTGTATTTCTTTTTTGAAATAAGTTAAAAGTTAAAAACTATAAATTTTATTTTTTAGCACTATTACTTTACTTTAGAAATAATTAATATAAAAAATATATATGCATATTTGCAGCTACATGTAGCCATATTCAATAATTTTATAATAACTAAAATTTACTAGAGTAACTCTATTGTATAACTAAATAAAAATGCCACTCTTGCAATTTTACTCTACTTTAACTTTAACTCTAATCTAATCTTACTTCAATTTAAACTATGACTCTTACTATTGATGTTTTATAGAATAGGTAGGCAGACTCCACAAACTCTGCAACTTCGCTAAATATCTATTAATGATTACTAATTATTAGTGGAGTTTATTTTCTATATTGCCTACCTATTCTATAGAACATCCTTTACTATTTATAAATTAGTTCAAAATAGTTATTTTTATATATTATAATTTTATAATATTTTTATATTGTGCTACATATGCTAAATATTAACTATATTTTTTATTTTTTATTTAATTATTTAATTTTATTTAATTTTATTTATTGATTTATTTATTTTTAGTTGATTATTTGTTTTTGTTTAATTTATTATTTATTATTTTTATTATACAGTAGATTCTCTCAATAATCATATACTAAAATCAGATGATTTATCAATAAGTGCTTATTGCAAGATCATGACTAATACAAGTAAAAATTTATATATAATATATATAATAAAAGCAAAAATTAATGTGATTATAGTGAGATTGTGACTATTGAGAATATAACTATTGCAAGAATCTATAGTATTTCTAATTTTAATTTGTCAAATTACAAAACTTGAGTTTTATATTTTGTTAATTAGCTATTATCTTGTTATAAGTATTAATTTTAATTTTTAATTTTAGAATATACTAGCTGTATTGTTTCTGGAACAGAACAGAAATTTTGCATCATTTATATTATTCTTTGTGTGCAGATTGAAATTTAAAAAGTAATTATATAACTGATTTTGGTAGTAATACTAAATGTGTTGTTTCTGGAACAGGGCAATATATTTTATATCATTTATATTATATTAATGTTATAAAATATATTCATTATCAACTTGATTTAGCCTATATATTTAACTAAAAATAAACTTGTGTGTAGATTTTTTTGTTATAGCAAGTAACAATATATAAATTAATTTTGTTTAGTTGAGTGTAATATTTAAAAGTGTTTTAATTGGCAATAATAGTCATAAACAGAATACTTGAGTGCAGTACTTAAAAAATTAAATTTTTTTAGTTGTATACAAATATTTAAAAGGTTTTTTGGTTGTGTGAGTATTTAAAAAATATGCAAGTTTTTTTAAAATTAACATGCAGATTGCAATTTATTTAAAAAAATCTAAAAAATATGAAAAATTAAAAAAAATTAATAAATATAAAAAATTATAAAATGTGAAAAATTAAAAAAAAAAAAAATTAAAAAAAGAAAAGCTAGGAAAAAAAAACAAAAAAAAGAAACTAAAAAAAGAAAACAAAAAAAGAAACTAAAAAAAAATTAAAATCTAACTGTAGTATTAACAAGAAGCATATTTTAAGCTTGGCTTGCTCTGCTAAGCTAAAATTTCTCTGCAAATTCATATTTTTTAATGTGCTATTTTTATAGAAGACTTCAATTAAGGCTTTTCCTTCTTTAAACTCAAGCTCATTATTTATTTCCAAGAAGGTTAGAACATCATTCTTTAAAATACCTGTGGCTAATATTATTGTTTAAATGTTTAAAATATTTAAAAGACTAAATTTAAAAGTAACTATTATTTGTAATAATATATATAATTTAATAAATAGAAAATTATTTGCTAGAAGTTTTTAACATTTTATGAAATTTAATAATAATAATAAAATAGAGAATAAGAATAATTAATAGATAAATAAAAATTAATAAAAGATAATTCTATAGTAATAAACAAATTCCAAATTCTATAGTGATAAATAATGTAAGTTTTTTTGCAGATAATAAATAGATAATATGTTATAAACTTTTATTAATATTATTTTTTATTAATATTATTAAATATCAAGATGAATTTATTTGGGCAAAAACAAAAAAAATTTGTTAGCTAACTTTATTCATCAAATAAAACTAATTAATAATAATTTAAGAAAAATTCTTCTTGGAACAATAGTTGTCTCACTTAATTATTGATTATTAATTAATCAATATAGTAAAAAATTTGAGAAAATCTATGAATAAAAAAAAAAATAAAGAAATTAACAAAAAAAATCTAAAATATATTTTTAGGTTTTATACTTCTTTGATGCTAGAGTTATTGGTTTTTTCTAGTATTCTCTGCTCAGTTTAGCTAAGCTTAAAAATATTAACTTTGAGCTTGAGCAAGTATATACAATGCTATCAAGTTTGTGAAATAGAAGTTTGCTTTTTTATGTATTTTTTTTTATTTAAATTAGTTAGTAAATTTTATAACAAAATTTTTAGCCAATATTGTATTACAGTATAGTCGTAAGTTTTGTAATAGAATTTTTTGCAGTAAATCAAATAGAAATTACAACATCTTCAATAAAACTAACTCATACTTAGCTATTCAGTAAAATTAGAACTGATGTTAAGGTCTTGAATTCATTTAAGAATGCTCGACCTTTGTTACTATTGATGAATAGGCATAGATAAATAATACTGCTAAAACATGAGAATTACTATCATGTATAACAAATTTATTCAAAATTTTAATTTAACTAATGCATCTACCACAATAAGTAGTAACTAAAAAAAATGCATTGATTTATTATAGAAATGCCTACATAAAGTTCTATCCTAATATTTTGGTGCACAAAAATTAATTATATATCGTATAGCTCACTGCATTTATACAATGCGAATCTTGTAATATTAAGTTGAACACAATTCATTATTCTTTAATGATTTTCACAATTTCACAATTATTAGTTAGTGTGTTGGTCTTTAAAAATATGGCTTAATAATTTCATCATTAAAAATAACGGTGATATTTGAAAATATTGTATTATTAGCATTATCTTTATACACACTGTAGAAGCAATTAATATTAAGAAAATCAGAAAATACGTGAAGTAAATGCTCAAAGACATATCCTTCGTTGAAGATGAAGCATTATTCAAAATAAATGTAAAATACATTTTTTTTCTATTTTAGAATCATTGATTGAACTGTATTATGTTACAATTTTTACTTTTTTATAAGATCTTATATTTTTATTTACGGTTCGGATTATACTTCTATTTTTCACCGGATCTCGGATTAGGAATAATCCAGAGTCTTTATACTATTATTTCCTTTTATTTATACATCATAGTTGCAAAAAAAGTAAAATTGTTGACTAAAGAAAAACGAAGAAAAATACATTATAAATACATATCCTTATTTTTTTAAAAAAATAATTCTATCATATATAGTGAACTTCAGGCTAAATATTCTTTTAAATGTACTATATATTTCTATACTAAGACAATTTACCTACAAAGTATTGTGTAAGATTTGTTGCACTGTACGTACGTACGTACGTAAGTTAGAAAATAAGCCCAAGATCATCATCGAAATGAAAGTAAAGCAGATAGAGCGTATCATATGTTAGAAATTAGTAAACACTGTCTGAAGTTTTATCTTATAAGGATACTTTGATAGTCCAAAAAGAGTTAAACACTTGAAAAGCCACGCTAGATAAAGATAATGTCTCTCCCATGATGGATAAGATTCGCAATTCAGCCCAATGACCTGAGTTAGATATTGTGACGTATTCGAGAGTTGTCTAGGAAAGTATTGTTGGCTGCTATTAGTGTAACTCTTATTCCGGTACATCCTGTTCTGAAGCCAGTTCCACTGTTACATCATGTCTATTTTTAGACAAGTAGTTCATCCCTATTAGTCTCATTTTTTCAACTTTATTCTTCACTCCGTTGCAAAAATGGCTATAGAATTTTTTAAAAAACTTTCTACCGATTTAACAAAACTTCTTGAAAATGAAGAAGATTATAACGTATTAATTGAAGTCGGTCAAATGCCAAACCATCAAATATTTAAGGCACATTCTATTATTTTGAACTCCCGATGTTCTTATTTTCGTGAAGAGCTTGATAAGACAGTTCACAATGAGATGAATGTTAAAAAAATCAGTATTCCACATATTACTGTTAATGCTTTTGAAATTATTATTAAGTATGTTATTATTTTATTGTTATAAAATTTATAATCACTAAATACGATTTAAGGATTTTTGTTTGTTTTTTAACTTAGATATATTTACGGTGGTATTGTTCTATTCAATGAAATCAATACGCCTAAAATCTTTGATATTTTAACTACTGCTAATAAATTTGGTCTTGAAGAATTAAGCAACGCAGCGCAAGTACAATTGGTTAAGAATCATGCATCGTGGATGCGTCGAAATTTTGCTAAAGTTTATAAAATAAGCTTTGAAAGTGACAATTTTAAAGATTTACAACAGTTCTGTAATGATATTATTGCGAAATATCCAAATATTATTTTTGATTCTGATGATTATGAGAATATTTCGGAAAGTGCTTTGGTCTCTATTTTAAAACTTGACAACTTAAATATGGATGAAGGAAAAATTTGGGATCAAGTTATTAGATGGGGAATTGCACAAAATTCTGACCTTGATTCTGATCCTTCACAATGGTCTAATGCAAATTTTTTAACTTTAAAAACTACACTAAAAAATTGCATACCTCATATCCGATACTTTCAAATTACTGGCGAAGATATTTTGGATAAATTACATCCGTATCAACAAATCTTTGAGCCTAATTTGTGGAAAGATATTATGACAAGATCCTTAGCTCCAAATAGAGTTATTACATCAGCTATTTTACCTCCTCGTATTATCTCAGATACCATATTGCCACCAAGAAATATTGAAGCATCAAGTGGCAACATTATACTTAAGGATAAGAGAAATGAAGCACATGAATGTTTTAAGAAAGGAAAATTTCTTAAAGCATTAGAACTTTATGAAGAAATTCTCGAAAACAGCCAGCATAGTTATGAAGATCAAAGAAGTGCTTCAACCTGGGACCTTTCTGATAATAAATGTGGGTTGGAAAATTTAGATGAGTTGACAAAAACAATTAGCAAGAATTCCACGTTAACTTCTTTGAATGTTAGTCAGAATAATCTTAACTCGGAAGGAGGAAAAGCATTAGCCGATGCACTTTGCAAGAACACTACGCTGACTTCCTTGGAACTTTATTGTAATAATCTTGGACCTGAAGGAGGAAAAGCATTGGCAGATGCACTTTGCAAGAACTCTACGCTGACTTATTTGGATCTTTGGGATAATGATCTTGGACCAGAAGGAGGAAAAGCATTAGCTGATGCACTTTGCAAGAATACCACACTGATTTCTTTGAATGTTGGTGGTAATAATCTTAACTTAGAAGAAGGAAAAATATTAGCCGATGCACTTGGCAAGAACAATACCTTAACTACATTGAAACTTTGGAAAAATAATCTTGGATCAGAAGGTGCAAAAGCATTAGTAGATGCGCTTTGCAAGAATACTGCGCTGACTTCGTTGATTTTTGATTATAATAATCTTGGGCCAGAAGGAGGAAAAGTATTAGCAGATGTACTTTACAAAAACACTACTCTAACTTCGTTGGATATTGGTGGTAATAGTTTTGGATCAGAAGGGGGAAAAGCATTAGCAGATGCACTCTGCGAGAACAAGACACTGAAAGATTTAAATCTTAGGAATAATAATCTTAGTTCAGAAGGAGGAAAAGCAGTAGCTGATGCACTTTGCAAGAACACTGCGCTGACTTCATTGAACCTTAGTTCGAATAATCTCGGATCAGAAGGAGGGAAAGCATTAGCTGATGCACTTTGTAAGAATACTTCGCTTACTTGTTTGGATCTTTATGATAATAATTTCGGGCCAGAAGGAGGGAAAACATTAGCAAAAGGACTTTGCAAGAATACTACACTGACTTCATTGATTCTTGGTTATAATTCTAGTGGATCAGAAGGAAGAGAAGCATTGGTGAATACACTTTACGAGAGTGCTGACCAGACTTCTTTTGATCTTAAATATAATCACATTAATCTTAATTTTAAAAAAAAATAATAAATAATAAAGTATAGAAAATACTACAACAATCATAGTTATAGTTTAAATATGGTAGAATATAAATATTGCAAATTATTAATAAGTTTACCAATAAAAAATAAATAAAAATTTTGCAATAAAAAATTTATAAAGAAAAAATAAAATTTTGTTAATAAAAAAAAAAATCCACTAAATCACTTCAATCAAATTAAAAACAATGAGTATAAAAATTAATTTTAGTAAATATTAGCAAAAAAAAATCCACCAAATCAACTTCAATCAAATTAAAAACAATAAATATAAAAATTAAATTTTAGTAGATACTAGTAAAAAAAAGAATATATTTTTTGAAGAACAAATTTAATTCATACCGGGAGATATGCATATCTAGGGTGCTATATCTCAATAACTAATTAAGAAATAGGGTTCAGATATACTAAGTAAAAATGCTCAGAACACCCCAAAACCTCGTGTAATCTAAAATTAGACTATTATATAAACCCCTTCTATAGGTTCCAAAACCCACACCCTAGCCCCAAAATTTAGTAAAAGCTTATTTTTTTAGCAAAAACTATTATAAAATAGAGGATGGATATGCGTATCCCATGGTGTAAAATTAATATATACTTTTTTGAAATAAGTAAAAATAAAAACTATAATTTTTATTTTTTTAGCACTATTACTTTACTTTAAAATTTATATGTATAGCAATAGTTACTTTAAATTATAAATAATTGGTATAATTATACAGTCAGACCTCTCTAAGTGCACCATCTATAAATGCTCTATCGCTCAAATGCACGCTCAAGTGCCAGTCCAAATATATACTTGACCTCCATAAGTGCACTTTTTCTTATTATTCTCTATATGCACGTTGTTAAAATGTGGTCCCAAGGGTGTGCACTTAGAAAGGTCTGACCGTATATACTAATACAAAATCTAATATTCAAAATTAATATATTTAACAAACTAATTTAAAAACTGAATATACTATTTATTAACTTATATAAAATTCTTTTGTAAACTAGATTAATATGGCTCTGGTCCTATATCATAATTTAATGATATACGTTCTAAAATCGAATCACACTAAACAATCAAATGTAGTCATTAACATATGGAGTCTTTGCCTTGAAAATCACCCTCCGACATTTCTGATCGGGCTAATTCGGACAAAAATAAATCCGTATATTAGTTCGCGTTTATATTTGAATCTCTTTTTGCTTTATTGATTCGAAACTTTATTCTATAAACTATTGAACCATGAAGACAAAAGTGGGGTTTACATATAAAACATGAACTAATACCAACTTTGTTTTTGTCCGAATTAGCCCGATCGGAAATGTCGGAAGGTGATTTTCAAGGCAAAGACCCATATGATACTTGGTATTTTAACATTTAAAAACTATTGCACAGTTCGCTTGATTCATTTGAGAAGGCAATAAATTTATTTAATAAATACAAAATTCGGGTAGTTTCAAGAAGAGTGAATCCAGTAATATCTTCGTGCTAATCACATCACAGGATTAAACACTTGGCCTAAGTTAGGGGTAGTGTTAGGGTTAGGTGATAGTATTGTTTAGGCCAAATTCGTTAGTGCTAGTAAACAAATGATGATTTCACATAATGTGATGATCACTGGGTTCATTCTTCTTTAAGTGTCCTAAAAGAATCAAATTTGGACATAGTAGCAATCAAATTCGGACATCTTACTAGGGATCTAAATCACGTGATGTTGGTAACAAGACGAATCGAATGACACCAAATCACGAGATATCATTGCCCGAATTTGATTGCTAAGGTGACCGAATTTGATTGCTACTATGTCTGAATTTAATTGCTTCTTTGTCAGAATTTGATTGTTATCGCTATAATGTTCGAATTTTGATTAAAATTGGTATACAAAACATATCATTGACTTGGACTTCGACGATCCATGTGATCAGGTGATGCAAGGTGATTGACTGGGTAATATCAATGAAGAACTAGCACAGATAGTTCAATGTAGGTTGTGCTTCGTTTATTTGAGTGCCGCCAAGAGAAAACTTGCAAATATTATAAAACTTGCAGGTTTTCTCTTGGGCATTCATTTGTAGTCTATATATTGTAGTTTGTGCGTCATTGATTTGTAGTCTATACATTGTAGTTTGTGCATCATTGATTTGTAGTCTGTATACTGTAGTTTGTGCTTCATTGATTTGTGGTCTGTATATTGTGGTTTGTGCGTCATTAATTTGTAGTCTAAATAGAGTAGTCTAAATAGAGTAGTCTAAATAGAGTAGTCTAAATAGAGTAGTCTAAATAGAGTAGTCTAAATAGAGTAAGAATATATATATATAGAGTAGGGTTTAGTAAGCCAAAGTGATAACTCTTTCTTGTGCAATAAAATAAAGGTCGTGTAATCGCTGGTCACTTGTTCGTTTCATCGTAAATAAAGACCTTGGATAAACCTATACGTCGTGGTACGACACAAATAAATTCCCCAAAGTGCCCGTTTTTAGCTAGATTAACCTTAAAAACCCTCCCATTGTGAACTCGCACGAAAATAGCACCTATTTATTGAAGGTAAAAAAAAAAATTGGGCTTATTTTTATTTATTCATGTATTAACTTTATTAAACAAAACAAACTGTTTACTTTACTCTTGATAATAACGACCAAGAAGTAATGCGTCCTAACAGAGTTTTTACCTATTGCCTTTCTAAACCCAGTACTATAAAAATTTATGAAGACGGAGATGATGTTTATCAAAAATCAGTTTTTGAAGGAACTTATGATATTTGTAAAGATGGGACCGACTATAAA